TCTTGACTGAATCTCACTATAATTTCTGTTAAGGCAGATAAGAATTCATGAAGAAATTCATCTCCCAACTACTTTTAGGGGGGCTGGGGTGTTGGCAGAGGACTATAGTCCAGTGGCTGGAACGCAGAATTAGGGTAACAGGTCTTTATTTTCAGTTTTGCTTCTTTCTGATACATGACTTAGTCTGGGATTTAGCCTTTTCATCAGTAAAACTAGAATAATAATATTTGCAATTTGAGACTTACAACACGCTTTGAGACAAACACTGAAAAGGTCTCAGTAGTGTATTTAATACATTCTGTTTGTAGATGTTACAAGCAGCAGCTAGGAGAAATGAGAATAAAATGAAGCCAAATATGCTGATTTAAAAGCAAACTGTTGAAGACCTGAACTAGTGAAATAGTTACCCTTGTGCCAGTACCTCTCTTCACAGAAATAAATTGCAGGGTTCCAACTGCTGTCCAAAAAAAAAAGAAAATCCAAGGTTATAACTGTTTAATGGGGGGAAAATGGCTAATTTCTGTCTCTTTAAATTTTGTGGTGGAGAAAATAAGGTGCTTTGATCTTTAAATGACAGCTTCCAGAGTCATTACATTGAATCAGTTAATCTCTCCCAGTAGTTACCTTATTCTCTTTTTCTCATGGGCATCCTCTTTCATGGTTTCAGTGCTGAGCTTCAAATCAATGAACAAACTGTTACTGCTTCCAACACAGCCTGTCTAGTGAGCTTTCCTGCTTTCATGCATTGCCAAGCTCTTACCTCAAACCTTGGCACATCAAAGTGGAGAAGAGATCGAGTAGTGCCACATGTGTGTTAACCAGGCTGGCTCCATCATCTTCATTTACACTGTATGGGTCAGGCAGTCCCTCGCCTCTTGACAAGACGGGTTTGTCAGAGACTGCATGTCCTATTGTTTCCAGGTGACAAATGCAATTCAAAGCAAGTCAAGTGACACAGTAGTGATTGTGAGTACCCTTGGTCATCCCTTTATCTAGTTTAAAAAAATACTAACAAAGTGATAACTGATCTACATATCTGTATGGGTTGTCCATGCCCAGATAAAAATAAGTTGCATTCTAAGTCATGCTTCTGACTCAATATTCTTTTTATTCAGACTGGTTTTCATTTCTCTTAAGAAAAAAAAGAAGATCAATTTCGCAGTTTAAGCCCCATGAAGCACCTATGTTACGTAAAGTATGAGGTATTTTATCTGCTAGCACACATCAAATGCTGTGAAGTAACACCTGAGAGTTTTTTCAAGTTTTACCAGCTAGTGCACACACTGTATAAAGCTCAGGAGCTGAGGTTCTGGAGTAGCATCTGTTTTCCTGCCCACATTATTAATATGTTTCTTTATGTCAAAGGGTTACAGTATAGGGCAAATCTTGTGCAAGTTCTATTAGAGTAATTTTGTGGGTTTAGACATAAAAATTAGACATCTAAAATGTAATGTGATTAAAAAATAACTCATCTCTTCCAGGAAATAAAATAAAATTGGGTATAAGGTGAACATTTTTAAACAAATTTCCTCTTCTGAGAGGGCAGCACTAGGGATTTTCCAATTTTCTAAAGCATTCTTTTATTAGAAGCTACCTTGCATTAAGCAACAAGAGTAATTTTTTTACTGATAATGACAGATTTACTTTATTCCTACAAAAGACCTCAAATACGCTATCTTTAGTCACATTTCACTAAGGCAGAATTTCAGAACAGATGCTACACCTCAAAAAAGAGTAACATAATCATAGTTGCAGAAATGGGTGTTTTGCTGTAGTGTATCAGACATAAAAGTCTTCTGTGCTTTTTCCAGCAACTTCGAAGATATGTCCCTGAAAATAAAAGTGAATCATGCACATTTCCTATTTTCTGAGTCATGCACAATGCACTTAGTCAGTGCAATATTGTAGCAACTGGGATTGGAAATTTCACCTAAAGTTTACTGGCCTGAACACTTTCTACCTTGTCATGGTTTAACCCCAGCTGGCAACTAAGCCCCACACAGCTACTTGCTCACTCCCTCCACAGTGGGATGGGGTTGAGAAATGAAAGGGTAAAAGTGGGAAAACTTGTGGGTTGAGATAAAGAGAGTTTAATAGGTAAAGCAAAAGCTGCGCACACAAGAAGCAGAACAAGGAATTCATTCACCACTTCCCATTGACAGGCAGGTGTTCAACCCTCTCCAGGGAAGCAGAGCTCCATCACACATAACAGTTACTTGGGAAGACAAACACCATAACTTGGGACAACCTCCACCCCCCCTCACCTCCTTCTTCATCCTGCTTTATATGCAGGTGTGGGATATCTGTGGGGTCAGCTGTCCCAGCTCTATCCCCTCCCAGCTTCTTGTGCACCCCCAGCTAGTGGGGTGCTGTGAGAAGCAGACACGGGCTTCGCTCTGTGTCAGCACTGCTGATCAATAACAAAAACATCCCTGAATTACCAACACGGTTTCCAGCACAAATTCAAAACATAGCCCCACATTAGCTACTATGAAGAAAATTAACTCTATCCCAGACAAAACCAACACATACTTGAACTTGAAAACATTTTCTGTTGTCTATGCTAATCACCCATTCTTCTACACTTCCTATGGCTAGATCGCATGAACTACTTCAAAATGAGAGTTTTCCTCAACGTCTGTGAGAGTGGTACAGAATCAATTCCTACCTTCTGAAAAATTTTGCATTGCTTTATTAATAGTATTTTCTTTATTTGTTTGATCATGATTTGGGGCCAGAAGTAACAGAAATCTGAATACAGCATTTGATAATTAGCCAGAGCTAAGCCTTTCCTATGTGGGCACCAATAATCTTATTTGTGCTGTCTTTACTCAAGATCACCCTGTTTCTAATTCTCTGTTTAATACTATTCCAGATTTTGTTATCAAAATCCTTCAGCTTTCTCCAGTACTTTGCTGCCAGGTTTCTTACAAGTCTGACAGCCTAAGAGATCCTTCTGTACCTAAGATATAACATTTCCTAATCCCCAAGGGTCCTTTAAAAATCATTTTATAAATCAAGCTTCTCTGTTTCCACAGCTGTGTGTAATTGTGCATATACCTTTTTTAAAGATACTTAACTTTGGAAGCAGAGGAGAATTAAGGAAAAAGTTCAACTGAAGTTAAACTAAAGTATCTTGGTACTACTATTTAACATTTCAATATTATCTTTGTTCATTTTATTCTGCACATACCTTCATCTAGGTTTCCTCCATTGTGTTCCATTTGCTGTGTTCTGTGTCCATTTTCTCTGTTCTTTGCAATGTTGGATTCAATCCTTAATCATCCCATGCCTGGGAGGAAAAGAGACAGCAATTGTTATAGATGAGTGGCTCAATGGCAAGTAAAAGAGTCCCAGAGATGAGCAAAACAAAGCTGGTGTACATCATACCCTGGGAGTTCTATGGGAGGAAAAATTGATAGATGCTCTTACGCTACCTTTATGAAACTCTGAGATTCTTAATACAGTTACATGTCTTTGCTGTGTCAGTCTGAAGTCCCCTCTGTCATGATACCATGGCAAAAAGCCTTAAAAACGAACTGAGGACATCCTTGCACTTAATGGTGCAATGACTTGCATCCTGGGCTGCATCAAGCGAAGTGTGGCCAACAGGTTGAGGTAGGGGATTTTCCCCCTCTGCTCCACTCTTATGAGACCCCACCTGCAGTGCTGTGTCCAGCTCTGGGGCCCCCAGTATAAGGACATGGACCTGCTCGAGCAGGTTCCAGGGGTGGGACACAAAAATGATGAGGGGGCTGGAGCACATCCCTTGTGAGGACAGGCTGAGAGAGTTGGGGTTGTTCAGTCTGGAGAAGAGAAGGCTCTGGGAAGACCTTTCAGTGGCCTTTCAGTACTTAAAGGGGGCTTACAGGAAAGATGGGGAGGGACTCTTTATTGGGGGGTGTAGTGATAGGATGAGGGATAACAGTTCTAAACTGAAAGAGGGCAGATTTAGATTAGATATAAGGAAGCAATACTTCACTGTGAGGGTGGTGAGACACTGGCACAGGTTGCCCAGAGCAGTGGTGGCTGCCCCCTCCCTGGAAGTGTTCAAGGCCAGGTTGGTCGGTGCTTTGAGCAACCTGGTCTAGTGGAAGGTGTCCCGGTCCGTGGTAGGGGGGTTGGGACTAGATGATCTTTAAGGTCCTTTCCAACCCATGTGATTCTACGGTTTGAGTGTGATTTCTCACTGGAGCTCGTAAGGATAAATATTTAGAATAATATACTTTAAAAAGATAAAAAAAATGCCACTTAACCTCAGTTTAGTAAGAGGAAAACCACAGTAGGCATAGTAGCATGTGTGTATATATATATATAACACCTGAATTCTGTATGTAATTTCCCAATTTTTTGTGATAAAGTTTTCTCAGCATAATTTTATAGTTCTCAAAGTGGAAAATTGTGCCTGTTCTTTGTCTGATACTTACCTGTGTAATTTATTACTGAAAAATAAAAAGGAAAGCCTGCATATTTCATCATCTAGACTGTAGACAAATCTTGTTTCTCACAGGATCTACTGTAATTACATATTTGTGAAAATTATGCAAACACTCAGTAAGATTTCTTTTTACTGTGCCACTAATAAATGATCACACCAGTTAATACACCCTAAGAAAATAAATTATAGTGATAGTTATGATAATCAGTGTACTTTTTCTAGTGCATCTGAACATCTCACAGAATTCTGAGTGAAGTGGAGCATTCACATTTTACTGGTGAAGCTAAATAGTAGATTTTTTTCAATGTCTACAACTGTTACTCTAACCCTCACTAAAATTAAAGATGGTTAGATTTCTACCTGATGTACCTTTAAAAATAAAATTTCAGTTAAAGGTCATACATAAAGTCTGTCTCGATGAAAGAAAAACACTTCTTCAGATCCCACTTTTGTCCATTTGTAGCATATCGTGTCAGTATTTCAGCATTTTGACTGTAAGTATTCTGTTATTTTAATTTTTTTTTTTTTATTATTATTTTTTTTTTTTATTCTCCTCCTTCAGGTCTCATGGAAACCTCCTCTGATACAGAATGGTGAAATCCTGAACTATGAAATTCGCATGCCTGATCCAAGAATTGTCATTATTGGGAACACTTCATCAACATTAAGTCATTTGGTGACTAATCTTATACCCTATACAAACTACTCGGTCACTGTAATAGCTTGTTCTGGAGGTGATGGCTTTCTAGGAGGCTGCACAGAGAGTTTGCCTACAAGTGTGACTACACCTTCAACAGTTCCTCAGAGCGTTAGTCCATTGTCTGTGACTCCAATCAGCGAGTCCTTTATTGCCATTTCTTGGCAACCACCACTAAGGCCGAATGGTCCTCATCTGAGGTAAGCTCTTAGTTGCAACTGAGATAAGAGTTTTCTTCTCCATACCTAAATCTGATTCAGAAAATTCAGAGTGATACAAACTTTATGATCTGATCTCTTAATTTCTGATTTTTTCAAGTTCCTCTTTAGGGTTCAGGAGTCAATGAGTGAGCTCATGAAAAGTGGGTATGTCTAAAAGTAGATAGCAGGGTGAGCTTTGAATTGTTTTGAACTTACAAAGAGTCAGGATTATTAAGAGCAAGTGTGGTGTCTGTGCTGTGGCACTTCCTTTGCAGAATATGTTCAGGAAGGATCTGGGTCTTTCAGATCAGTGTTGTCTGAAAAGCCAGGAGGGGCAAGCACAGGATATTTGCAAAGTCATAACTAGTTTGGGCTGCAGCATCAGTCACTTTTTGGTGGCGAGTTCAGGCAACATGTTCGACTGACAAAATGACAAGAAAATATGAGATCTCTGTGAACAAGTATTTAACACATCCAATATTCTCAACTCTCTGTGGGGGTTATTCCATACAAAGCAAAAGTGACCATTTGGGAGTGAGATGACATGAAATAATCTTGAATTTAACTAATTAATGAACTGTAAATGAGAGAGTGTATGAGAAAAATGGATGTTAAAATTCTACAAGTTTGGGGGCAGAGCAAAAAAATAGGAAACACAAGGAAGTGCTGGGTATAGCAGGCTGGATTTTACCACAGGAACCAGAGAAAGGCACCTCCTCTGAGATTTTTCTGGAATCCTGGGATGGGGATTTTGGATTGAATCTGATTGATTACTGAGTGTGTGTGTGTGTGTGTGTGTGTGTGTGTGTGTATACATTTTTTTTTTTAATGGATTTGAGGGCATGAGGATTTATAAAGACAAATATATCTTTTTATATACACAAAAAATGTCAAACAAATCTTTCATTCTAGTGCTTTAACATGTTGTGAAACATTGTGCATGAAATTATATCTCTGTACTCCATATGTTCTGGTTAGTAGCTCTCTTCTAGGTGCACTGATGGGTTCAATAATTATCATGTAATGCTATTTCAGTTGCGTATGTTATTACAGCACAGTAGCTTGACTCTTTCTTCAGGCTTAATTAGGGCACACTACAACTGAGTGAAATGATCATTGCTCTACAGTAAAATTTGAAGTTTTTGAAAAGCAGTCCCTGTTACTCTGGGGTTAACAACATGACCATTTTACCATAGATTATTAAAGTAATTCAGCACAACCTACATCTGCAGACTTCATTTCCTTCATGGTGTGTTATGCTGCCCTCAACAAGAGCAACCACTGAAGCAGCTGCTCTGTGTAGCATGATGGAGCAAGAGGTCTGCAGCAAGCAGAATAGCAGCAGCAGCTGCAAAGATTTTGATGTTTTTCATGACTTGTCTATGAAATATATTGGACAGAATATGCCAGGACTATCCCTAATAAAACCATAATGATATGTCTTTGGGTTCTGTTGACACCAATGAACCAACCCCTCATGGGAGAGATGTTGTTGGGGTATAAAGTCATCTGAATGACTTTAGAAAAGATAGTAAAACACCACTATCAAACTGAAACAAAAATCCTATTTAAAAAGTCCTGTGAAATGTAATAAAGAATAATAATCCTAAAGATTTTGACCAAATCTATACAATTTTGTTTCCTTTAGAGTATGGGGTTTTTTTGTGTAATCACTAGAATGATTAAGAAATGCAAAATAGAATGTTATCCCCTTTATTCTGTGTAGCCATTAAGTGATTTAAACTTTGTTAAATTCCATACAGGTTTTGTATAAAAGATGATGAAAAGTGAGTGATGCAGAATGGGTGGAAGGCATGTTTTCTGCATCAGGCAGTCTCATGGCTGACCTAATGTAAGATGGGCTTTAGCTGACCTGTTGTCTGGAACAGAGCTGGAATACAGCTTCAGATACTAATTAAAACCAGGATGAAGTAGTTTGGTCTTTCAAGTGCACATCATGAATGGCTACCCAAATACAAAGGTCTACAAATGGAAGTTAACTCATTGTATCCCTGTTTGTCACCTGTAATTTACACTGTAGTTATTTGCAAACACACATTAAACACAAATGCACACTTAAGTTGCTGCTACCAGTAAAATAGTAATAGCTATATTTCAGCACATTTGCAAGAAAGGGATATTGTCATTTCATATTCTGGACCAGTCTGTGCTTATCAGACGGCATCAGTCAAGTCTGCATAAGACACTGTTCATGGCCTATTTGGACTTGATCTTCATAGCATTTCCACAAAGTTTAAAATCTCTAAATCATTAAATAAACTCTTTTTTTTTTTTTTAAAATATGTCCTTAATTTTCCATTTTCAAAGTAGTTTGTTAAGTAATTGAATGTTTTAAATCAGGAAACATGAAAAGGAATGTTTATCTCAGAAAGTTTACAGCTGTAAAAACAAAATAATGTGTGGCTTTAAAAATAAACCTTTTTTTTTTTTTTTTTTTTTTTGTGTAATAACATTAGTTGAGATAATCCTGGTGTTCTGCTTGTCTTTTGTGTTAGATATGAGCTCCTGAGACGTAAAATCCAGCAACCACTTGCATCAAATCCCCCTGAAGATTTAAATCTGTGGCACAATATTTACTCAGGAACTCAGTGGTTTTATGAAGATAAGGGTCTTAGCAGGTGAGATTACAAAAACTATAAAAACAAATGCTGGCATTTTGTATAGTGTATGTTTAATAGTTCAAAGTATTTCTTGTGTCTTTATGTAGTGAACATATTAATTATGTAATGAAATATTTTTTGTCATCATCTTTGGTATTAATCATTCTAATATGCAGGGATTTATTATTAGTCTGTCATTCTTGACTCGTATATTGTTTTGCTCTGAAAAACAAATGAAAATAAAGATCTTGTAAAATTTTAGCATCAGTATGCTTCTGCATTCAAACCGTTTAGATTTATGTGTACATACGCTCTAGATTTGTGTGTTGGCAAAGTCATAGCACAGGCAGAATGACTATTTGAGAAGTCCTAGCTGGGAATTATTTGAAACTTGGTTTCAGCATTGTTTTTATTGCCTGGTTTTAAAAGTGCAGATTAATGATTGCTTCAATATCTCCAAAGGCAAGAATAATATTTATTGCACTCTCATCAGAGCTAATTTAAGGGCAGCTTTGTGTTAGCTTCATTACAGTTAAATTCAGAGTGTTGACAGTGGGGAAATAGAGAGTGGGTTCTGTTTCACAGTATGTAACAGACCTACTGGGTGGTATGGAGCAAGACATTTGCTCTTGATCAACCTTAGTTTCGCATCTCAAAGTCAAGGCTACCACCCTTAAGACAAGCAAAGACACACATAGAGAACCTGTGATGGAAGATTCAGCACAGATGCTGCACTGCTTTTTTGTAGGTAAAGTCTCAGGAAAACATTCATGGATGGTGTCAGGATGTATGTGTTCTCCGTGATTGTGTGCTGGCATGCTTTATGAGGACTGAATGTCGATCATTGCCCCTCAAATATCTGTACGTTGCTTCTATTTACTTTGATAAAAGCTGTGTGAGCATCCCTCCTGAGCATGATGTGAACCAGCAGAATGTGACCTCTGCTCCTGACTGTTGTATAGACTGAACTATGCCAAGAGCTACTGCCTCTGTCCTGTCATTGCCTACTTGCTGGAAGTCACCGCTCATTTTCTGTTGCAATAACTGATCACGAAGCTGTTCTTTTAGCACATCCTGCCTAAGCGTCCATTTCTTTTTTTCAACCATGTTGGAAATTCTACATATAGTTTCCTTTGGTTTTCAGTTTAGCCCATTTCAGCAGTGCTGACGTGTGCAGCAGTTATGTTAGCAGTTCAGAGGGGGCAATAAATTCTGACAAGGCCTCAGTGACAAGTCATTAGGCACAATGACCTTTTGGGCTGAATGAGCTATGGCCAGAAAACTGTGGCTAACCATTGGACACACCTGAACTCTTCTACTGGGGAGGGTTCTGCAACCTGCAGCTATGTTTTTGCACTCAACAACTCAGGATGAGTTTGTGGCTGGAGAGAAGATGCTGCAGAGAGACTCAACTCTTATTTTTCACAGAAAGAAAATCCATATATCAGTATCTCTTTTCATTTGTGTCATGATTTAAGCATATTTCAGAATTAGTGTATTTTTATTACATTCCTGATAGAAGTCTGTTTTTACAATTTTTTTTTTCAGATGGCTTCTTCAGCCTATTAGAAATTTTATTTTCACTGTTGTAAATAGGATCCAAAAATTAACCTCAAATTCTCATCATTATATTGCGAGACTAGATCCTGTTCATTTTTATTGCACATGTGCTGCAGTGTCCAAGAAAATACTACATGTTCACAAGTGACAGAAAATGCAGAGAGGGAAATAATATGTGTTATGTATATTGTCACTGTTCTACAATGCTTATAGTTGCAGTTGGAGCTAGTGAGCTCCCGTTTGCTTTCTTCTCAGTTGGACTGTTAAAGCCTAACTCTTTTGAAGATCAGGCTGGATGGTTGCATAATATGGGTTGCTCCAGTAAAGCAGTTAAAAAAAAAAAAAAAAAAAAGTAAATATACAGTGTGATTGGCTTCTTTTTGTAGTGAAATCCCCAAATATTAGGCATTTACTGTGTGTTCCTTTATTGCATTTGTAGACATTTATCCCAAAGTGCTGCAGCTTCAGTGAAAATTTGAACAAGATGATCCTGTTTTTGTGATTGAGCGGTTCTGTGTGAGGCTTTTTATGATGAAATAAAATTTGAGATTATGAAATGCCACTTAAAATACATTAATATGTCATTTGACGTAGAGAAGAAATTAGGGAGTGACAGTCAATTGGTTTACTAAATATATATGAAGTATTTAATAAATCTGCAAAAGCTGAATATACAGTTCAGAAGAAAATTATTTTATTACATGAGTGCATTCCTAGGCACTTTTCTTGGATGTTTTTGTAGTGGGAGAGTCCTGGCTGTGTGGTGAATCACTTTTACAAATGAGACTCTGCAAGTTAAAATCAATGGGTTTCCCAAAAGAGGAAAAAAGCCTCATTTGATTAAATTCTGATCCAAATTTTGGCAGGTTGCCACTGCTGTAATTACATATTGAATTGAGCTATAATCTCTCAACACCTCAGAAGCTACAACTATGAAGAAGTGAAATAATGTGGTTTATTTTTGTTACCATGTTAATCGGGCTGAATTATTTCCAAAAAATAGACACTTCTTACAGAGTCTTCATTGGTGCAAACCATGCAGCTGAATTTTTCGGAATGGGGAGGGAAAGAAACAACAAAACTTTGGCACAGGCAGAAGGTTTACAGCAAATGGTTTCTACATCTGCATTTTTCGTTCCATTTAATTATTTTTAAAATGTCTTAGGTACACAACATATGAGTACAAGCTCATAGTGCACAACGAGGTAGGATATACATCAAGTGAAGGAGTGATAGCTACTACATTAGCAGGATTACCAGAGAAAGGAAGCATCCTCATTGCACGTGCTGTTAATCATACCGCTGTAGAAGTGGAATGGTCAAAACCAAGTAAGTCTGCTTAGTATTTATTCCAGTAACTAGATGTTAACCTGCCATCACTTATGCTGCCTCGCTCTCATAGGAAACGCAGTCTATTTCTTGATTTATAATATACCTAAGTGTCCTTGAGAGAAAAGAAATAGGAAAAAACATGTGCACATTTTGCTATTTCTCAGTCATGTTCGTATTTATTATATGCTATTTCTGCAGAATGAGAATAGTGAAAGTGAAGAAATAGTTAATGCAAAGTCATGAGAAATCTATGTAGTCAACAAAATCCTGTTGTCTTTGTAGTATATTTCATCTCTTTGTATAAAAATTTACATATACATTCCTTGAGGATGAGAGGATCCCCTGTCTCTCTCTTTTTGCTCTGCTCCTTAAAATTAATTTAGCCATTTTCTCTAGTTGGTTTGCTAATACAGCAGTGGGGAATTTCTTCATGACTTACATGCAAATGATTTTATAAGGACTGGGTGCTGAATTGCAAGAAATGTAGTCTCTTTATTTTATAATTGCATGCCTGAAGTAAGCATGCTTATAAAAACTGACAAATGTAATAGATCTGAAGCAGCTCACTGAAGTTTCATTACCTTAGTAATCTAAACCCTTGACCTTCTAGATGTAGGTAATGCAATCTGGTTTTATTTTCATTCATACCTTAGAAATTTCCTCCATATATGTTTGTGAATGCAAAAGTTAAACACCAAGACAGGACCGTTCATTATTTGAAAAGCTTACCCTATTTTGTTACTTGTTATGTTGCAATAAGCACATTAACTATTTTGTATACCCATGTTTCATTTTATTCGTAATATTAGTTCTCAAATTATTTTCTTGTTTTCTTTGTGAACTTGGGAGTCCTTAATGTAAGTTACCTTGCTATCTTTCTTTTTCTGGAAAACCTACTGAAGGATTCTGACTTCCAAGGATTTAGGACTTGTATCTGTACCATTTAAAACAAAAAATAACATATCACTCTTGATTAAGAATTTCTATGACAAAACTGTGGATTATTAAATCTGAAAGTATGCTTTTGGCTTTTATCAATGCTCTTTACTAGTCAGCTAAGTCCTGTTCAGTGGTACAGTGTGTCATCTAAAGCAATATGTATTACTACTTAAAGTTTTTGCCATAATTATTTTTTTTCATCTTGATGTCTACTGGAAATGCAGTTGCATTTGATCAGATCTGAACTTAAACTCTTTGGCAAAGAACAGATAAGATAACAGACTGCATCTGAGTTACTAAAATGGAGAAACAAGACTTGACTTGAATCTTTGTTTATCCATGAGCTCAGACCAGTGAATGTCCTTCCCTGTGTAGGCAGAAAATCATACTGGGTTTTTTTTTCCTTTCATTGGGGAAGCTAGTACTCGGTAAAACACATTTTAGGAAGAAATGTGAGGAGGTTTGGTTTCTTTTTCCACTGTAAATATAATGTTTCTGAGTGTATTACAGCTTTACATGTAGATGATGCTATCATGCTTGTTCTAAAATAATAACACATAGATTTTTCATTTTCACTATGGCCAAAAGGCCGTCTGTGGAAAGTTGAATGTAGCTGTAATTTAAGGCATAGGCACTTGCCCCTTTATCATGGCTAGAGGACTAACACAGGAACTCAGTACTTTTGGGGTGTGGTGGGGGAGTGTTGTTTGAAGGGAAGGCACAAAAAAGGAATAAATCTTTGATGTTTCCATCTTAAGTAGTGCCATAGATCAATCTGATTTGCTCTCTTCCTTCTATCTGGGTGAAAGCCATCATTTCACAGTGGCAAGCTGAAAGGTTGGTGCCCCATTGTTAGATTCCATTGTTATGGGGATATCTAGAGACAGAAAGCTTTCTCCAGTATTAGATAGGATGATGAACAGTTGACACTCCCGACAAGTTTGGAAGAGCAGTCTGCATTACTGCTTGTAAGAGAAAAATTGAAGGCACTTGATGGAATCTTTGCTTTCTTTTTTTTTAATAAGGGGGTCTGCATAAAATTTGTTTTTCTCTTCACAGTAAATGTTGTTGATAAGAAACTGTCTGACTGAATATTTCCGAGTTGATCTCCCAATGTTTTATGTTTCTTTTCTTAGCACTACAAGATTTGCAAGGAGATGTTGCATATTACACACTTTTCTTGAATTCTACTGATGATGGAAGATCTCTAAGGATCCAGGCTGATGTAAACTCTATAGTCATAGGTGATTTGCAGCCCAACACAGAGTATCAGATATTTTTTCAAGTTTTTAATGGAGCCCACAGCATCAACAGTGAAGTTGTGCATGTGACTACCTCAGATGGAGGTTGGTTAGCAGTGAATGTGTCTTGGCTTAAAATCTGAGAATGAAATTGATTGATTTTTGTTAAGGTTGAGATCAGTCATCCTTCCATTATAAAATTTCCGGTATAAAAGGAAAAAGGGCTAAAACGCTAAAATGCTTAAGTGCTGGTTGTCATCATGTGGTAGATCAATAAACGGTCCCACTGAGACAGAAGCAAAAGCTCTAATAGCAGATATTAACCCAGTTTGTTCTCATCTTCTCCTGCATATTCCTATCTGTGTGCATTAAGATTGGAACCGAGTTCATATCAATAAATGGTGGAATTTAGAAACAATTAATGGGTTTTTTTAAATATTTGCTCTGTGAAGCAATGTGCTTTTGACATGAGAGTCATACACAGGGCCTTCCCTCAGTCACCAGAATCTCTAGGTGTCAGTTCAGCCTCTAAAAAAATTCTTTATGAGTCATTTTTATACCAGTGGACAAG